ACTTTCTGCGCATACAAGTTCGTGTCTTTGTAAAATTTTGGTAATTTTCATCTAATCATACGGTTTTTGAAGATTACTATGAAAGCTAAGCCAAAAGAATTTTGAATTTTTTTGCATCTGTCTAAGAGATTGAGGTACCAAGAGATGGATGGAGTAATCATATTTTACGAAAAAAAAAACCTGTTTTTGGAAAAATAAACGTGAAATTTCCTAACGTACAGTTTTGTAAGATTTCGCTTTTTTTTTAAATTTTGCTGAAAAATTTTGCTTTTTTTTTAAATTTTGAATTTTGCTGTATCTCTCTGAAATACATAAATGTTCTGTACAGGTATTGTTGATTTGATGCGAACGATTTTGCATCTTTTTGTTAAAAAATCCCAATTCTACCAATATTTTTTTTTTTTTTCAGAATCCATAACATCATTAGCTTGGGATATGGATCGTCAGTTACTGTATTCAGCAGCGACCGATCATCTGGTAATTATGTGGGATATTGGCGGAAAGAAAGGACAGGCTTTTGAACTTAAGTAATTTTTCACAACGAGCCATTAACTTTTTTGTTTGCTAAAAGATCACCGAGAAACGGATCACCGTGATGTGATATCTGGAATCGCAGGCATTTTTTTTTAATGCTAATGGACCTTTCCTTTGAACCTGACCTGAATATTTTGAGTTTACAGCTGGGGAAACCAGTCCGACTAAGATTCATTAATCTGCGGAAAATTAATTCTGGCACTTGAAGGAATCGGAGAATTTTTCAACTTTCTTTCAAGTATAAATAAGTATAAATGTATTACATAGTTTTTATGTAATATCCGTTTCCTCTTCTTCATGACTCATTACAGTAATCCAGCCCCCTACCCTCTTAATCTAACATACTAATCTATAAATTCTTTCCTTTCCTTTTCTCAGTCAACAACTTTTTCTGATTCGCCTGTCTGCTGCCTTTTGGGTCTTCATCACAGAAAAGGAGGGACATTCCTTCTCTTTCGGGGTGGATTCTTTAGGTTCCATATAAACTCCCATTTCCTTCATTCTTGGCTTTGGTCTGGTATAAGATTGGAACTATTGCGTCTTTCTTATTAACATCAATCTTTCGACTCGATTCTTCTCGTCAACGTCCTCTCACTCAACAACTGACCCCAAGGGGTGTTTGGCAGTACTCTTCTTGAATTCGGTGGTCTCTGCCATTTACGGTTAGGCCGATTTACTAGCATAACTGATTGCTCATTGCTTTCTTTGTATCTAATAAACGCTTCCCTGCGAGTCCTCGCGCCACAACAACCACCACATCCACCCAAAAATTTACTCAAGCAGCTTTCGGAAGATGGTATCGATAGCGCTAACAGATGTTTCCTTTTGATAAAAAGCCATTTCTTGTATCTCTTTTGAAGTGCTGCTTCTCAAAATAAGTAAAATGTGAAGAAGATTGACTCTCATTCAGTAGCGCTGAATAAAAGTCAACCTTTTTACCAATTTCGAGTCTGAAAAAAGGCATTGTGCGGTAAAATTTTTTTATTAAGATTTTTTATTATGATTTTTTATTATGGTTTTTTTTATTAAGATTATTCCCTAGAAATATGAATTTAAAATTACAGTTCGCACAACAGCAGCGTGACATGTTTGCAATATGCGCTGCACGCAAAGAGGCTCTTCTCGGCTGATGACAGTGGAAGTCTGGTTTGTTGGGATATGGCTGCAAAACGTGTCGTAACACCGGAATGGAAAACA